CAAAATCTCACGATACATGGCCCCATTCATTCTTTCCTTTACACAGATCAGTCGTCCTGGTCCCTTTGCAGAAAAATAGCCCCAAAGCATGATGTTTCCACCCCCATGCTTCACAGTAGGTATGGTGTTCTTTGGATGCAACTCAGCATTCTTTGTCCTCCAAACACGATGAGTTGAGTTTTTACCAAAAAGTTATATATAATACATATGACATTCTCCCAATCCTCTTCTGGATCATCCAAATGCACTCTAGCAAACTTCAGACGGGCCTGGACATGTACTGGCTTAAGCAGGGGGACACGTCTTGCACTGCAGGATTTGAGTCCCTGGCGGCGTAGTGTGTTACTGATGGTAGGCTTTGTTACTTTGGTCCCAGCTCTCTGCAGGTCATTCACTAGGTCCTCCCGTGTGGTTCTGGGATTTTTGCTCACCGTTCTTGTGATCATTTTGACCCCACGGGGTGAGATCTTGCGTGGCGCCCCAGATCGAGGGAGATTATCAGTGGTCTTGTATGTCTTCCATTTCCTAATAATTGCTCCCACAGTTGATTTCTTCAAACCAAGCTGCTTACCTATTGCAGATTCAGTCTTCCCAGCCTGGTGCAGGTCTACAATTTTGTTTCTGGTGTCCTTTGACAGCTCTTTGGTCTTGGCCATAGTGGAGTTTGGAGTGTGACTGTTTGAGGTTGTGGACAGGTATCTTTTATACTGATAACAAGTTCAAACAGGTGCCATTAATACAGGTAACGAGTGGAGGACAGAGGAGCCTCTTAAAGAAGAAGTTACAGGTCTGTGAGAGCCAGAAATCTTGCTTGTTTGTAGGTGACCAAATACTTATTTTCCACCATAATCTGCAAATAAATTCATAAAAAATCCTACAATGTGATTTTCTGGATTTTTTTTCCTCAATTTGTCTGTCATAGTTGACGTGTACCTATGATGAAAATTACAGGCCTCTCTCATCTTTTTAAGTGGGAGAACTTGCACAATTGGTGGCTGACTAAATACTTTTTTTCCCCACTGTATCCCATCCACTCATATCCCAAATGCAAGAATACAATCAGGATGTGTAGAGAAATAGACTGACTCCAGTGTGGATCAGTGGTTGTTTCTTTCTTGGACAGCATCTTCTCTTCCAATTAGTGCTGCTGCCTCTGCCCCGGAGCAGCTCTGTCAGCTCAGATCACCAGAGCTCCTTGTCTCAGAGTCAGCGACACGTTCAGCTAGCGTCCCCGAATCCTGACCTGCATCCCAATTGGCACGCTGTTCCCGAAATAGTGCACTACTTTTGACTCACAATAAAGGGAATAGGGTTCTATTTGGGATACAGCCCTGGAAACTAAAGGAAGCTAGAGCTCTGACAGTACAACATCTATGAACCAGCAAAAAGGCCAAGGTTTAATCAGAGAACATTTCTACTGTACAATAGTAACAACAAACGTAGTCTGCAACAACAAACATGCATACATTCTGGTAGTGGGAGCTCATTGATAGTGTTATTTTTGCTCTTTAAAAAAGAACATCTCAATTTGTGTTGTTTATCATGCAACAAGACAGATATGATTTTGGGATTCTTCTATCTACTTATTAATAATCTTATAACCTGAGATATTGCTCAAATGTGATTTATTCCCCTACAGAATAAATCACATTAATTTCAGCGTGAGCGTAGAAGTGACTTGCAACAGAGGAGCATCAACGCAGCAATCCAGAGCGACTTACAGTTAGTGAGTGCATACATTTTCATTCTGGCCCATCGCGGGAATCAAACCCACAACCCTGGCGTTGCAAGCACCATGCTCTACCAACTGAGCTACAGACAGCAGCACACATGATATTGAATTTGAATGTCACATATTAGATGCAACTGGATAAAACAATAGTTGGTATATAAGCATAGGAAACTAGCATGGTAGTGCCATAAAACATTTATTTAAAAGCAAGTCTCATCAATAAGCAAGTCATAAAAAGGTTAAATATTGAATGTCAAGTTTAAACAAAGCATCATTCAAAAGCATGTTGCTAATATATAAAACTGTTTGTTATGCAACTTTATAAAATGTCCACCGTATAGCGGTGAGAATTCAGCTAATGGAAATATCACCTGACCATAAAGGCAAAAATAAATTGTATTCTCATAAGGACATCAATACATAATCTGGTCCCAAATCTGTTTCTGCTCTTGCCAACTCCATGACGGTCCATGTAAAGCCAATGACAATGCATATGAAACTTGTCATGACAATGAGTGACAAGGAGTTGGCATGAAAACACAAACAGACTGGTGTTCAGGCTCATCAATACAAGGATACAGCACTAATGTTCACGAAAGCAACACATTAACTGTGGTAGCTATGGCATTACAGATATTACTCCACTTCTCCATCTCCTTGGACATTTAACCTCTACGGGATCAGTGTCCCGTATACGGGACGGTTGAGCTAACGCGTGCTAATGTGAATAGCATGACTGTTGTAAGTAACAGCAAACTTTCCAGGACATAGACATGTCTTATATGGGCAGAAAGTTTACATTCTTGTTAATCTAACTGCACTGTCCAATTTACAGTAATTTTTACAGTGAAAAACGTATCACGGCAACTGGTTTGATACATTCACCTCTGAAGGTAAATAATGTACTTACATTCAGTATTCTTGCTCTGATTTGTCATCCTAAGGGTCCCAGAGATAAAATGTAGCATAGTTTTGTTTGATAAAATCAATTTTTATATTCAAATGTAGGAACTGGGTTCTACAGTTTGAACCCCTGCTGTAAGCTAATGATCCATCATGTATGACATTCCGGGGAGTGTGTAAACATACATTTTGTATTACCATATCATTTTTGTATGTTCTCTATAGTTATGTGCTTGAAAATGTATCAATTGACCAATTTGGCACATTTGGGCAGACTTATATTCTTCTACATTAATTTCACATTTCCACAAACATCAAAGTGTTTCCTTTCAAATGGTATCAAGATAATGCACATCCTTGCTTCAGGTCCTGAGCTACAGGCAGTTAGATTTAGGTATGTCATTTTAGGCAAAAATTGAAAAAAAGGGTCCGATCCTTAAGAGGTTAAAATATACATAGTATGCACCCTAAATGGCACACTATTCCCTATACTGTCCACTACTTTTGACCAGAGATGGTCAAAGTAGTGAACTATGTAGGGGATAGTGTGCCATTTGGGAATCAGACAGCAACAGGATGTAGAATAAAATAACTCCAAGATTAAATAGTAAGTATTAGGCACTGTTAACATTTTGATTGACTACATCAACGATAAACATGCAAAAAACACAATCCTGGCAGCATTCTACATGGCAAATACATGATGTCGCTTGTAATATGAAATCTGTTAGGAGATCAGGGAATAATCGTACATTTGGGAGGATTTTTTAATGAAATACAAAAGATGACCATGTTGGAGCCTAGGTCTCCTTCTAGTATGACCTCAAGTCTAAACATTGTCACCTTCTCAGTGGAAACACCTTTCTGAGGGAAATGCCAAGGTAATCAGCAGTCATGTCCTCTCTTTCTTCCATATCTACACGAAGCACCTGAAATCAGGTCTGGTTCAGGGTCAGTTTGTTCAGCAGCAGTCCAGACAGGAGCATGTATCCACCACAGAACTCATACTTTGAGTTAAAATTTAAATAGACAGCATAGTTATATAACTTACATCAGAGATGACTTTGGTTGGTTGTCTTGATGAGGAATGAACACACAAAAAAGCATAACATACTGTAAAAGATCAAGAGGAAAATTACATTCTTATGATACAATACTAACAAGAGATTGTTCATCAATCATGTTGTGGTATGACATTCATGGGGTCTTTGCAGAAAATAATGCTGAGTAATATCTTAGCAAAAATGACATACCAGTACTTTAGACTTTGCGGTAGATCAATAGTCCCTCTAATATACACAATGGTCCTTTACAATTCACCTCTTCTCCACCCTGCTCATATTGTACTTGTTCTCAACTATCTAATTTAAATCTCAATATCCATTATATTCCTCTCGACGGCAATAAAAAGCAACATGTACAATATACGTACTGTATATCTGTCTATACATCCTTGCCATGACAATCCTAGTCTCCTTGTAATCATGTTTGACAAAATTACATCTACTAGAACCACAGTTCAGTTTGACAACACATTGCTTAATTGTTTAAACAGCAAATAAACCATGAAGAAAACTAAAGTTATGCTACAGTTATTTTACATTTATGAAAGTAGATACAATGTTTGACAGTCAAGATGAAACCATTGTTAATTTGAATCCATAAATCTCTCTTACCCTTTAGTTATTTTCACTCTGAAAGTCATCACAAATGACTCAAAATATACTGTCTACATCCCAAATGGCACCCTATTCCCTGTTTAGTGCACTACTTTTGACCAGGGCCCATAGGGCTTTGGTCAAAAGTAGTGCACTATATAGGAAATAGGGTGCCATTTGGGACCAAGATATTAACTTGAAAGACTGTTCATTTAGACTAGTGTCAGAACACATGGGTGGATGGCTGCATGAGGTCATTAAACACAGCGTGAAATCAATTTCCCCACAGAGGGAGAGGGAGAAAGAGAGAGAGAGAAAGAGAGAGAAAGAGAGAGAAAGAGATCGGTATAAGAGCCATGACTTCTCCCTGGCATCCAGTAATGAAATGTTTATTTAAACTAACCGATTAATTAAAAACATTGACATTACTGCAGACAGCCCAATTTATTCATATCTGTTAAAAATACCCTGTTACGTCATCTGCCATAAGTTGCAGGTACAATAAAGGGTACAGGTTTTTGTGACAAACTCATTACAAGATCCTAGAGAGCCATTGCAGCAATTGTTCTGCCAATACTGTGGGCCAACCTAACCTATTAGTGCCCACAACTGTAGCCTATGCGTGCTGTAGTGTGTATATAGGCCAATACCAGAGTTTTATAGCGTTTTAATGGAGACAGATCCCTCTTTACCCTCACCCCTCACAGTACAGTGGTCTCCGTCTGCAGGAAGGACTGGGCACGACAGTTACGTTGGAACTGAGCTATGTTCTCTGAGCCGTTTCTGGAGGCATAAGTGTTGTGCTGGGTGTAGTTTCTGGCCATATGGCAGTTGAGGCATATACTCTGCCATTTTCTCTTCAGTTCCCCTTGAACCTGAAGTAGGAAGATAAATCTCTTAGCACAAAGGGAAAACTAGTTGACATCCATCACTACATAGCTATACTATATAATGTTTCAATATAATCCTGTCCTCGTCGATTTGCTACAATGAAAACAAAGCAGACAACATTTAAAATGTCAATTTTTATCAACTGCTAACAAAATACCTCCCTAACTATACTGTAAAAATTTATCTTAATCAGTTAAAACCTTGTTTTCCACAATAGCTTTCATAAAAGCTTTCACTTTTCCTCCCAATTTGACCCAAGGAAGACACTGTCACTAATCATTTACACTGCTGTTTGTCTTCTTCATTGAGACATTAGTCCCCAAGGCAACCATTTAATTCCAGAATAAAACAAACAACAATTAAGGCGAGAGCTTAAAGACAATGGCTTACCTCACTGTTTAAGAAACAGTACAGAATGACAACCACCAGGCCCTGCCAATAGAACATCAACAGAAAGTCTTGCAAATGAGAGACAACCAAAAACACAAACAATCCATAAAAACAATGCCAAATATAGCCAGAAGATATTAAATATGATTAAAATATGCAAAAAGGATCAGTTTTACCTGAAAGGATCCGATAGCGAGGTCAAAGAAGATTTTGTAATCTGCCATGGCTTCATTGAGAGACACAAAGACAACGTAATGGATGCCAAACAGAGGGATCAGCAGGAGAGTGGATTTGGCCAACCTCCTGAAACCACACACACAATATTACAGAGATACATTTACATTTACATAATTTAGCAGACGCTCTTATCCAGAGCGACTTACAGATACTGTATGCAGGGGACCTAGAGACTTCACACTGTTATATTCAATAATATACTGTATAATATAATAATAATTGTTGGTTATATGTCCACAAAACGTTGGTGCCGAAACGTTGGTGTTTACCCATTTAAATTATTGGGAACATATAGTGTATGCAACTTTCTTTAATAATTTGTTTACAGCTAGTTTCTGTTAGTTGGCACTTTTCAAACTATTTTGGGTGTGCGTCCTCATGCTATTTAGTACACGCACACATCAATGGAATACGTAAGGGATAATCAACAAGGGGCTGTGCGAATGCACGTCAGGCAGTGGAGGCTGCTGAGGGGAGGACGGCTTATATTAATGGAGTGTAATGGCTGGAATGGAGTGAATGGAATGGTATCAAACTTTTGATACCATTCCATTTACTCCATTCCAGCCATTATTATGAGCCGTCCTCCCCTCACCAACCTCCACTGACGTCAGGTCAACATCACACCCCGGTATCATGGATTATTTCCACATTCCCTTGTTGATGATCTCTTTACATAAAGCATGTCTGGAGTTTCTCTAGAATCCCATAAATATGCAGCTCAATAACGTGCAATGTGTATAGAGTGGCATAGAGAATATCCCACCAACAACAGGGCACCCAAAATAAACCGCGGTCTTTATCTACGTTTTTACCCAGCCGTCCACAGCCTTTTCCCACAAGAGCGGTCATTCAGATTTACTTTGTCATATATTCTCAGGGATATATATCTCTGAAGAGGCAGCATTTTAGCCTTTCTAAAACCTGAACAGACTGCACAGATTACAGAGTTTATTTCTCACTCTTTGGTCATGCTACCCTTCTGGTTACTGAGAATTTCCTCAGAAGGTTTTCAGGGAAGCAGATAGTCATCAGCAGACTTGTTTGAACTCAGAGATGGCTTTGTGCTGCAGTGTGAGTAAGATCTGCATCCCAAAGGGCACCCTTTTCCCTAAATAGTGCACTACTTCCTACCAGAGACCTATGGGCCCTGTAGGGAATAGGGTGCCATTTGAGATGCCTCCTAAGTCATAAAGGGGTAATAACTGCCAAGTGCCAACCTGTGATTATTAGCACTAAGGTGGGTTATGCTGTAACAGTAGACATCAGCTCATCCAGGCTTAGCATCACCACCCGCCTCTTATCCCTTAAATCCCCTCGCTGACCAGATGGGAATATTTCTCCCTAAAGGCAAAGGCGTGCTGTGATGACCACCTCTATAGCTTAGCCCGAATCTTGTTTCACTCTGCAGTCTGCACTATAGAACACCTTCAGGCTGCATGTCTTTGGCCTGAGATGGAAACTAAAATACCACGTCAGTGGCATGCAATTGCATACTGTGGCATTTAAGTGTCGTGACATAGGAATGTTGATACACTCCATTGTTGAGTATTCATTGTCTTTTGCCTGAGTGCAGTAACACATGCCTACTTTGGTACAACAACCCATACCTGTATTGTGACTGGTCGTTGCCACCCACATCAGGACACCTCAATTTCTGAACCAGGATTCTTATAATACTGATGAACAGGAGGAAGTTCACCTGGAAATCCAGTCAACAGATATGATATATAATATTATATATTATCATATAAATACAACACATATTTGTATATTTAGTCAATTTGGTTCACTGCATTGCTTTTGAAGGGCAGTTAGCTCAGCAACCTTTAATTATATCCAGGAACTGCATCAATTCACATGCATGCAGAGCAACTACATAAATGTAGCATGCTTTTGCTATTAAAGTCATATCAGCTCCCAGTATGAGCTAGCTTGACAGATCTGAATATTCTATGTCTGCATCCCAAATGGCAACCTATTCCCTTTTCAGTACACTACCTTTGAGCAGGGCCCATAAGGCTCTGGTCAATAGTAGTGCACTGTATAGGGGATGGGTGCCATTTGGGACACATCCTCTGTGTGACATTTACTTATCTGGTGGACACCTGTTTAGTTAATGCCTGGATATAGCAGCAGTTGGATCCTGCATGTGGTAAAGGGAATTGCAGCAGCAATAGGTCAGGATAGATGTTGGATACCCACCATGATGGAGATTCCTATGGGTACATTGATCACCCACATGGGGATTGGGTTATCATTCTGTTCCCAGCATCTGAAGGAATAGGAAAAACCCATATGAGGATGTTAGTAACCACGTTCCATGCATCCCTGCCCATACTAACCTAAGCACAGCACGTTGTACTGGTTCAAAATGATTTGAGCATTAAATCAAAATGATAAAGGTTGCCAATGCTTGATTAATTTGATAATCACATGAATCTGAATTGACAAATTATATCATCCAATCCAAGACAAACAGCACATGTACATTCAGTCTGGCAATCACACAGGAAAATAATCCAACACCCTATCAATCATGTACATTTATGATTTCCAAGGTAACTCACCCAGTATCCTCAAAATAAACCCTTGTAATAACCCATGCAGAAACAAACACTGTTGGGATTCCTGAAACAGAGAGGAGAATACATCTGAAAGTATGAATGGATTGGATGTACTGTATGTTCCTCACTGTTGTTGATACATTGCACACAGTATATATTAATGAGTAGCTTACCCCAGCCAATGAGAAGATAAACTATGAAGTGTCTATTTTCAGAGAACATGACAATCAGCAGCATATGGAGGTAGAGGCCCTCAACCAGCAACCAGAAGAAGTTGGCCATTATAAAGTAGTGAAAAATCACCAGGCTCGCCTTGCATCCGATCTGGAACAACATTGTAGCACATCACTTGTGCTGTTATACAAAGAGAAATTACCGGACACTCAACACAAATAACAAACGTGTGTGTCTACATGGAAACTGAATTCCATGTCCTTATTCTGATAGACAAAGAAGTGGAAAACACTCATTTCAAAGTATACCCACAGAAACATAATCAAAGTGAACTGAAGGTACAAGAACCAAAATATGTGTCCAAAGGAAACTGAATTCTGTACCTCATTCTCAAAGAAGAAGTGAAAGAAACATGTTTCCAAGCAAATCTATACAAATACACATCAGTCTGAATTGTGAATGAACTATAAGAACCAGAGATATGCAGGCTGATAAACATTCTGGCTCACCAGTGAAGGCAGCTCAGAACACTGATTGCTGCGAGAGAAGAGGATGTCGTCCTTCACAAGGACCGCCACCGCCCTCAGGATGAATGAAAAGAACAGGTTGAGGTGAATGTAGTTCCGAGTGCAGTGGAGTTTTCTATAAAGGGGGTGGCAGAGGTAATCGTTAATCAGAGGATCTCTGGTTTGTTGATCCAATACCTGTTACAGGAGGGGGTCGCAGTTCCGGAGCGACCCACTAGGTGTCATCCTCCAACAACCTTAGGCACCTCCTCACTCACAGTCGAGACTAATCATCATACTATTGGTGTCACCTGTGTCTATCGGTTCACCTGTGTATTTATGCCCTCACTTCCCTGTGTTCCCTTGCACAGTTTTCTCTGCTAGTTTCTCTATGTCGAGCAGTACTACTCAGTGTCTGATCTGAGATCTATGTACAGGTACTTGAGAAGTGTTCTCCCTGTTTCGTTATTTGTTTCAGTCTTAGGTAGTATTTCTTATTTTGGCTGTCAGACGGTTTTTGGAGACTTATTTGCTCCGCCTTTCTTTTATCGTGATAAGTCCATTATTTTGTATTTTGGCTTCGGGACCACCAGTTAAGATCCTTGTTTCACCATCTCTGCCTACTGCCTACTGTATATCCTGCACCGCACCTGGGTCACACCTCACCCCAACCCTTACAATACCCTGCTGCTCAGAACAGAGGGTCTTCTCTACTGTACGTAACTACGTCTGTATCCCAAATGCCACCCTATTTTGTATATTAAGCACTACTATTAGTGTGCTATATAGGGAATAGGGTGCCATTTGGGATGCAGCCTAACTCTCACCTGAATACACAGAGGATGGCGCTCCCGGTTGTGAGGGCAATCAAAGACAAACTGTGGCCCAGGGTGTACAGAGTCTTCACCACCATAAAGAAGACCAACTATAGGAGAGAGAACATACGGTACAGTCATTGGCAGTATCAAAGCTGTAAACAGTATATTCAATTAAATTAAATGTCAAAAACAATGGGCAATTACTTTACCAACATATATAGAAGACGAGTTAGGAGAAAGAACATGTGCAAGTCATGTGCAATATATCAACATTGTGTGTACTTTCAGAATGTACTTGATGCTAACATTGAATGAGTAACTGGGAAGGACAGATTAAATGTCAATCATAATAGGTTGTAATAGTTTTTAAACATCCTCAGCGGGTAAACAAATTATTACAAATGTCATGACTTGCCCTCATGGGTTGAGGATCAAACATGCCGGCTAGGCAAAGGTTTGAACACCCCCTTTCCAGTTTTATGACCGGGCGTAAATACCGTGCAGACTTTCTCTTCCTTGCCATGAAGTATTGGGAGAAAGGACCCCTTTGTTAACAAAGGAAGTTTTCCCGCCAAGACTCCAACATCCAAAAGTGGAAAACACCCAGATGAGCGGCCACACCCAGATGAGCACAAACATGATGGAACGCCGCTTTTACCCTGAGTGCATAAAAAGCCTTGTGACGAAATTCACCTCAGACCAGCAGACGTGAAGCGTGAGCTAAACGTTGCAAATGGTTGAATTTCTGCTAGACCAGGAAGCCCCCGGCTTAAAATGGTTGACACTCTACAAGACCAGCAGACGTGAAGTGTGAGCTAAACGTTACAAAATGTTTTAAAACTACAACTCCATTACCAAAGGAAGACCAAGCATACTACGGTATAAGCCGGATGTTGCAAATGGTTGAATTTCTACAAGACCAAGAAGCGTGAAGCTGAAGCTACATGTTACAAAATGGTTAGACCAGAAAGACCAGAAAACGTGAGACGTTAGTCCACACGTTTGAAATGGAGAAACTCTGAAACTCTCAACCTCTACACGAGGTGAAGACGAAAACAATACACTAGATCTTATCATTTCAGTCTGCAGCTGGCATGTATAGTTGTCTAGAGAACTTTCACTAAAGACACGAGAAGAGAGGACAATCCCTCTTAGACAACCGCAGGTACATCTGAAGTATCCATTCTAACCACAACTACGACCAGAAACTTTACCAAGGACATTGGGATCTCTGGTGGGAAAACCAGAGTCCTACATCATCAACTCAACTATCGAGGACAGCTACACGTAAATACATGTTGCATTTCTAATCCGAATGAGCGTTATTAGGGTGCATAAGTATTATGATTACTGTGAGCATAGTCTCCAAAGGAACCACGATAGTTTGAATCTCTCTCTCCCTTCCACTCTGACCCTCCTTCTACCCAAGCATTCATGCTATTGTTAGTCCAGTCCACTAGGGACCTGTTTTCATTGTATTATGTTAGTAATCAATAGCCTATGTGTGTGTGTGTGTTTGTATTGTGTTATTATTTAGTTAGTTAGTAAATAAATAGTTAAGCCAATTTGTGTATTGCTGATTCATCAATAAGGTTAGGGTTCTTGCAGGTTCAAGGATTATGCAACATTCAGAATGAGACTGATAAGAGGTAATTATTTGATAAGTGACTGTTATCGATATATAACATATATATCTTCTAAGAGTTTAATTCAGGAGATGGTAACTCGTTAAACAACCTATTCCGTGGTGCCCCAAATTCCTAATTAGTTATATAATATAATATGCGATTTAGCAGACGCTTTTATCCAAAGCGACTTACAGTCATGCGTGCATACATTTTGACATGATTAATTTAATCGAGTGACAATTAAACAATTAAACATAGTGAGGTGATTCGATAAATAACAGTCATACATTAAAGTAAGTCACGTCACGACACAAATAATAAACCATTCTTCCATGAGACTGGCATGCGTCAGCAGAGGTATCAACACACATTGAAAGACCTTCATTTTTATCAATCAATCAAATGTATTTTATAAAGCCCATCAGCAGTTGTCACAAAGTGCTTTACAGATACCCAGGCTAAAATCCCCAAGAGCAAGCAAGCAATGTAGAGGCAGAAGCACAGTGGCTAGGAAAAACTCCCTAGAAGGCACGGAAGAAACCTAGAGAGAAACCAGCCTCTGAGGCGTTGCCATTCCTCTTCTGGCTGTACTGGGTAGAGATCTAAGTGGTCATTTAAGGCCAGATCGTTTTTCAAGATGTTCAAATGTTCATAGATGATCAGCAGGGTTAGATAATAACTATGATGGCTATAGAGGGTGCACCACTTCAACACTTCAAGATTCAACGTCAGTTGGCTTTTCATCATCAGGGATTCAACGTTTCAAAAGCAGCTTTCTATCCTTAGAGAAATTTTAAGATAGAAAGTCACAAAAGTGGTAAAAAAACATTTGGGAGAAAAACATGTACAGTGAGGGAAAAAAGTATTTGATCCCCTGCATTACTGTCAAAAAGAGCCTTCCCCTGAGAGGAGGCATTGTGAGTACAGTGCTTACTGCTTATAATTTCAAACCACTCAAATAATGATTTACAGGTTGATTCAATGTGATTTAATCTGTCAACAAAAGGACCTGCGTGAGCAGAGGTAGGAAAAGCAGAGCTACAGTAGCATTGAGACATTTAGAGAGACATTTAGAGACTAATTTTCAGACTCACAAAACTGTACTGTAGAGACTGGCGAAAAACAGTGCTTCTACTGCTAAATCATTTCAACCCGCTCAAAGAGTGATTCACAGGTTGATTTAAAGAGATTGAAATCTGTCAATAAAAGGACCTGTGTGAATCTGCTCTCCAATATTGTTTTCCCAGGAAATGTGTCAAATGTTTGATTTCCACTCTTTCACCACTGTCTTGTGAAAAACAAAGAGACTTTCTTTAAAACAAATGTCAGACAAGGACCCGACCAATGCATCAACACTATCAGTCATTCCTTTGAGGCAGTGCCAAATGTACATTATCTTAGTAAAACAATCACTCTCTCTAAAAGCATGGAGAGCTCCTATTCTGCAGCGACCTCTTCTCCACCTGCACTTCACACTATCCATTGCTCATTGTTCTTCAAAACGTGCATGCACGCACGCATGACATATGATATCACATCAGTCCTTGTTTTAATTATTCTAAAATATACAGCAGATTTGAACATCACATCATAACTCCTCTTCAAATATAACTATATAAAAAGGTTATCCAGCCAAAGTTGAGGTTACAGATTTGTTTGTGCCGTTGCCAACTCCATTGCTGCCATTTTGTATTTGTATTTATAATGGATCCCCATTAACTCTTCCTAGGGTCCAGCAAAATTAAGGCCGTTACAATAAATATACAGTGCATTCGGAAAGTATTCAGACCCCTTGACTTTTTCCACATTTTGTTACGTTACAGCCTTATTCTAAAATTGATTTTTTTTTTTATAATCCTCATCAATTTACACATTACGAGAAGGCGAAAACAGGTTTTTAGAAATGTTTCTAAATGTATTACAAATAAAAAACTGAAATACCTTATTTACATAAGTATTCAGACCCTTTGCTATGATACTCGAAATTGAGCTCAGGTGCATCCTGTTTCCATTGATCATCCTTGAGATGTTTCTGCAACTTGATTGGAGTCCACTTGTGGTAAATTCTATTGATTGTACATGATTTGGAAAGGCACACACCTGTCTATATAAGGTCTCACAGTTGACAGCGCATGTCAGAGCAAAAACCAAGCCATGAGGTCGAAGGAATTGTCCGTAGAGCGCTGAGACAGGATTGTGTCGAGGCACAGATCTGGGGAAGGGTACTGTGAGGGAAGATTTTATGTTTGTGTTTTTCTAATAACCAATTCGACTGGGTTCATGCAAGTGTCTGATAGTGAGGATTCCTCCCAGGCACAATCTATCAGTATAAGCAATTTGGCAGTATGCCCAGAACATTACTTTGAGAATCGAAAGGGGTATCTCGGTTTCAGCATTGAAGGTCCTCAAGAACACAGTGCCCTCCATCATTCTTAAATGGAAGAAGATTGGAACCACTAAGACTAGAGATGGCAGCTCGGCCAAACTGAGCAATCGGGGGAGAAGGGCCTTGGTCAGGGAGGTGACCAAGTACCCGATACCCGATAGTTCCTCTGTGGAGATTGGAGAACCTTCCAGAAGGACAACCATCTCTGTAGCACTCCACCAATCAGGCCTTATTATGATAGAGTGGCCAGATGGAAGCCTCTCCTCAGTAAAAGGCAGATGACAACCCGCTTCGAGTTTGCCAAAGCACCTAAAGGACAGACCATGAGAAACAAGATTCTCTGATCTGATGAAACCAAGATTGAACACTTTGGCCTGAATGCCAAGCGTCACATCTGGAGGAAACCTGGCACCTTCCCTACTATGAATCATGGTTGTGGCAGCATTATGCTGTGGGGATGTTTTTTAGCGGCAGGGACTGGGAGACTAGTCAGGATCGAGGGAAAGATGAACGGAGCAAAGTACAGAGAGATCCTTGATGAAAACCTGCTCCAGTGTGCTCAGGACCTCAGACTGGGGCGAAGGTTCACCTTCTAACAGGACAAGGACCCTAAGCATACAGCCTAGACAATTCTGGAGTGGCTTCGGGACAAGTCTCTGAATGTCCTTGAACGGCCAGAGCCCGGACTTGAACCCGATCGAACATCTCTGGAGAGACCTGAAAATAGCTGTGCAGCGACTGTCTATCCAACCTGACAGAGCTTGAGAGGATCTGCAGAGAAGAATGGGAGAAACTCCGCAAATACAGGTGTGCCAAGCTTATAGCATCATACCTGTCACACCCTGGCTCTGGGACTCTATATGTTGAGCCAGGGTGTGTTCATTCTATGTGTTCTGTTTCTATGTTGGGAGTTCTAGTTTGTTTATTTATTTGTTGGCCTGAGTGACTCCCAATCAGAGGCAACGAGTGTCAGCTGTGGCTGGTTGTCTCTGATTGGGAGCCATATTTAAACTGTCGGTTTTCCCTTAGTGTTTGTGGGATCTTGTTCCAGTTGGTTGTGTTTAGACTTAGGACGTCACGGTATCGTTTGTTGTTTTGTTATTCGTGTGTGCACTTTAATTAAATAAAGTATGTTCGCTCAACACGCTGCGCCTTGGTCTACTCGATACGACGATCGTGACAATACCCAAGAATACTCTAGGCTGTACCAATGGTGCTTCAAAAAGTACAGTGTAAAGGGTCTGAATACTTATGTAAATTTGATATTTCCATTATTTTATTTTTTTCTAAAAACCTGTTTTTGCTTCGTCATATTATGGGGTATTGTGTGTAGATTGAGGGGAAAAAAACAATTGAATCAATATTAGAACAAGGCTGTAACGTAACAAAATGTGGAAAATACAATTTAAAAAAACATTACATTACATTTCACAACGGAGTTCACAACACATTAAGTGTGTGCCCTCAGGCCACTACTCTACTACCACACATCTACAACACAAAATCCATGTGTACAGTGAGGGAAAAAAATATTTGATCCCCTGCTGATTTTGAACGTTTGCCCACTGACAAAGAAATGATCAGTCTATCATTTTAATGGTAGGTTTATTTGAACAGTGAGAGACAGAATAACAACAAAATAATCCAGAAAAACGCATGTCAAAAATGTTATAAATTGATTTGCATTTTAATGAGGGAAATAAGTATTTGACCCCTCTGTAAAACATGACTTAGTACTTGGTGGCAAAAACCTTGTTGGCAATCACAGAGGTCAGACGTTTCTTGTAGTTGGCCACCAGGTTTGCACACATCTCAGGAGGGATTTTGTCCCACTCCTCTTTGCAGATCTTCTCCAAGTCATTAAGGTTTCGAGGCTGACGTTTGGCAACTCGAACCTCTGGCTCCCTCCACAGATTTGTTATGGGATTAAGGTCTGGAGACTGGCTAGGCCACTCCAGGACCTTAATGTGCTTCTTCTTGATCCACTCCTTTGTTGCCTTGGCCGTGTGTTTTGGGTCATTGTCATGCTGGAATATCCATCCACGACCCATTTTCAATGCCCTGGCTGAGGGAAGGAGGTTCTCACCCAAGATTTGACGGTACATGGCCCCGTCCATCGTCCCTCTGATGCAGTGAAGTTGTCCTGTCCCCTTAGTAGAAAAACACCCCCAAAGCATAATGTTTCCATGTTTGACGGTGGGGATGGTGTTCTTGGGGTCATAGGCAGCATTACTCCTCCTCCAAACACGGCGAGTTGAGTTGATGCCAAAGAGCTCGATTTTGGTCTCATCTGACCACAACACTTTCACCCAGTTTTCCTCTGAATCATTCAGATGTTCATTGGCAAACTTCAGACGGGCCTGTATATGTGCTTTCTTGAGCAGGGGGACCTTGCGGGCGCTGCAGGATTTCAGTCCTTCACAGCGTACTGTGTTACCAATTATTTTCTTGGTGACTATGGTCCCAGCTGCCTTGAGATCATTGACAAGATCCACCCGTGTAGTTCTGGGCTGATTCCTCACCGTTCTCATGATCATTGCAACTCCACGAGGTGAGATCTTGCATGGAGCCTCAGGCCGAGGGAGATTGACAGTTATTTTGTGTTTCTTCCATTTGCGAATAATCGCACCAACTGTTGTCACCTTCTCACCAAGCTGCTTGGCGATGGTCTTGTAGCCCATTCCAGCCTTGTGTAGGTCTACAATCTTGTCCCTGACATCCTTGGAGAGCTCTTTGGTCTTGGCCATGGTGGAGAGTTTGGAATCTGATTGATTGATTGCTTCTGTGGACAGGTGTCTTTTATACAGTAACAAGCTGAGATTAGGAGCACTCCCTTTAAGAATGTGCTCCTAATTTCAGCTCGTTACCTGTATAAAAGACACCTGGGAGCCAGAAATCTTTCTGATTGAGAGGGGGTCAAATACTTATTTCCCTCATTAAAATGCAAATCAATTTATAACATTTTTGACAAGTGTTGTTCTGGAATTTTTTGTTGTTGTTCTTCTGTCTCTCACTGTTCAAATAAACCTACCATTAAAATGATAGACTGATCATTTCTTTGTCAGTGGGCAAACGTACAAAATCAGCAGGGGATCAAATACTTTTTCCCCTCACTGTACGTGTGTGTATAGTGCGTATGCTATCATGTGTGTGTGTCTGTGCCTGTTTGTGTGTCTCTTCACGGTCCCCGCTGTTCCATAAGGTGTATTTATATTTTAAAATCAGATTTTACTGTTTGCATGAGCTACTTGATGTGGAATAGAGTTCCATGTAGTCATGGCTCTATGTAGTACTGTGCGCCTCCCATTGTCTGTTCTGGACTTGGGGAATGTGAAGAGACAATGTGGAATAGAGTTCCATGTAGTCATGGCTCTATGTAGTACTGTGCGCCTCCCATTGTCTGTTCTGGACTTGGGGAATGTGAAGAGACCTCTGGAGGAATGTCTTGTGGGGTATGCATGGGTGTCTGAGCTATGTGCTAGTAGTTTAAACAGACAGCTTGGTGCATTCAACATATCAATACTTCTCACAAATACAAGTAGTGATGAAGTTAATCTCTCCACTTTGAGCTAGGAGAGATTGACATGCATATCATTAATGTTAGCTCTCCGTGTACAGTACATTTAAGAGCCAGCCGTGCTGCCCTGTTCTGGGCCAATTGTAATTTTCCTAAGTCCCTCTTTGTTGCACCTGACCACATGACTGAACAGTAGTCCAGGTGCGACAAAACTAGGGCCTGTAGGACCTGCCTTGATAGCGTTGTTAAGAAGGCAGAGCAGTGCTTTATTATGGACAGACCTCTCCCGTCCTTAGCTACTGTTGCATCAATAGGATTTTACCATGACAATTTACATTCCAGGGTTACTCCATTTCCACATTATTAATTACAATATTTAGTTAAGGTTAAGGGTTTAGTGAATGATTTGTCTCAAATACCATGCTTTTAGTTTTTGAAATATTTAGGACTAACTTATTTCTTGCCACCCATTCTGAAACTGACTGCAGCTCTTTAAGTTTTGCATTGACGTGGTACAGTAGCTGACATGTATAGTGTTAAGTCATCAGCATACATAGACACACTGGCTTTATTCAGAGCCAGTGGCAGGTCATTAGTAAGGCTTGAAAAAAGGGGCCTAGACAGCTGCCCGGGGGAATTCCTGATTCTACCTGGATTATGTTGGAGAGGCTTCCATTAAAGAACACCCTCTGTGTTCTGGTAGACAGGTAACTCTCTATCCACAATATAGCAGGGGATGTAAAGCTATAACACATACGTTTTTCCAGCAGCAGATTATTATCGATAATGTCAAAAGCTGCACTCAAGTCTAACAAAACAGCGCCCACAATATTTGTATTATCAATTTCTCTCAACCAATCATTAGTCTTTTTTTCTTTCTTTTTTTTTCAACTTTATTTAACCAGGTAAGCCAGTTGAGAACAAGTTCTCATTTACAACTGCGACCTGCCCAAGATAAAGCAAAGCAGTGCAATAAAAACAACAACAACACAGAGTTACACATGGGATAAAACAAAACATACAGTCAATAACACAATAGAACATCTATATACAGTGTGTGCAAATGTAGTAAGTTATGGAGGTAAGGCAATAAATAGGCCATTGTGCAAAATAATTACAATTTAGTATTAACACTGGAGTGATAGATGTGCAGAAGATGATGTGCAAATAGAGATACTGGGGTGCAAATGAGCAAAATAAATAACAATATGGGGATGAGGTAGTTGGGTGGGCTAATTACAGATGGGCTGTGTACAGGTGCAGTGATCGGTAAGCTGCTCTGACAACTGATGCTTAAAGTTAGTGAGGGAGATAAGAGTCTCCAGCTTCAGAGATTTTTGCAGTTCGTTCCAGTCATTAGCAGCAGAGAACTGGATGGAATGGCGGCCAAAGGAGGTGTTGGCTTTGGGGATGACCAGTGAGATATACCTGCTGGAGCGCATACTACGGTTGGGTGTTGATATGGTGACCAATTAGCTAAGATAAGGCAGGGATTTGCCTAGCAGTGATTTATAGATGACCTGGAGCCAGTGGGTTTGGCGACGAATATGTAGTGAGGGCCAGCCAACGAGAGCGTACAGGTCACAATGGTGGGTAGTATATGGGGCTTTAGTGACAAAACGGATGGCACTGTGATAGAGTACATCCTATTTGCTGAGTAGAGTGTTGGAGGCTATTTTGTAAATGACATCACCAAAGTCAAGGATTGGTAGGGTAGGATAGTCCGTTTTACGAGGGCATGTTTGGCAGCATGAGTGATAGAGGCTTTGTTGCGAAATAGGAAGCCGATTCTAGATTTAACTTTGGATTGGAGATGCTTAATGTGAGTGCCGTACATGTTGAATGCCCTTCCCTATAAGCGTGTTGAAAATCTGTTTTAAAATTTGTTTACTGTGAAATAGCATTGTATCTGGTCAATCACAATTTTTTCCAAAACTAACAGGCTGATTGGTCTGCTGTTTGATCCAGTAAAGGGTGCTTTGCTATTCGGCCCCCGCACATTGACTCTATACCCCCTGTATATAGCCTCCCTACTGTTATTTTATTTTACTGCTGCTCTTTAATTTTTATTTTTATTTGATTTTTTACTTATCTATTTTTTACTTAACACTTATTTTTCTTAAAACGGCATTGTTGGTTAAGGGCTTGTAAGTAAGCATTTCACTGTAAGGTCTACACCTGTTGTATTCGGCGCATGTGGCAAATACAATTTGATTTGATTTGAATGACTTTTACTTCCCTCCAGGCCTGAGGGCACACACTTTCCTGTAGGCTTAGATTGAAGAGATGGCAAATAGGAGTGGCAAAATTGTCCGCAATCATCCTTAGTAATTTTCCATCCAAGTTGTCAGACCCAGGTGGCTTCTCATTGTTGATAGACAACAATCATTTTTTTCATCTCTTTGACACACTTTACTGAATTCAAAATTACAAAGCTTGTCTTTCATAATTCGTTCAGTTAGGCATGGATGTGTAGGTACAGAATTTGTTTTTGGCATGTCATGCTTAAGTTTGCTAATTGTGCCAATGAAAAAATAATTAAAGTGGAGGGCAAGATCAGTGGGTTTTGTGATGAATGAGCCATCTGATTCAATGAATGAAAGAGCTGAGTTCACGTTTTTGCCCAAAATGAAACTTAAGGTTCTCCAAAGCTTTTTACTATCATTCTTTAGGCTCTATTTTCAGCTGCCGCTAGAATCAAACGCACGTTAATTTCCAATTTCATTATGTTTTTATTTTACTAGGCAAGTCAGTTAAGAACAAATTATTGTTTACAATGACAGCCTACCCCGGCCAAACCCAGACAACGCTGGGCCAATTGAGCGCCGCCCTATGGAACTCCCAATCACAGTCGGTTTGTGATACAGCCTGAAATCTAACCAGGGTCTGTAGTGACGCCTCTAGCATTGAGATGCAGTGCCTTAGACCACTCGGGAGCCCGATGTAAAAACTGGCGCACTTACAGTTAAAGTTGGAAGTTTACATACACTTAGGTTGGAGTCATTAAAAGTAGTTTTTCAACCACTCCACAAATTTCTTGTTAACAAACTATAGTTTTGGCAAGTCGGTTAGGACATCTACTTTGTGCATGATACAAGTAATTTTTCCAACAATTGTTTACAGACAGATTATTTCACTTATAATTCACTGTATCACAATTCCAGTGGGTCAGAAGTTGGTACACTAAGTTGACTGTGCCTTTAAACAGCTTGGAAAATTCCAGAAAATGAGGTCAAGGCTTTAGAAGCTTCTGATAGACTTATAGACATAATTTGAGTCAATTGGAGGTGTACCTGTGGATGTATTTCAAGGCCTACCTTCAAACTCAGTGCCTCTTTGCTTGACATCATGGGAAAATCAAAAGAAATCAGCCAAGACCTCAGAAAAAAAATTGTAGACCTCCACAGGTTTGGTTCATCCTTGGGAGCAATTTCCAAATGCCTGAAGGTACCACGTTCATCTGTACAAACAATAGTACACAAGTATAAACACCATGGGACCACGCAGCCGTCATACCGCTAAGGAAGGAGACGCGTTCTGTCTACTAGAGATGAACGTACTTAGGTGCTAAAAATGCAAATCAATCCCAGAACAACAGCAAAGGACCTTGTGGAGATGCTGGAGGAAAGAGGTACAAACATATCTATATCCCAGTAAAACAAGTCCTATATCGACATAACCTGAAAGGCCGCTCAGCAAGGAAGAAGTCACTGCTCCAAAACCGCCATAAAAAAGCCAGACTACGGTTTGCAACTGCACATGGGGACAAAGATCGTACTTTTTGGAGAATTGTCCTCTGGTCTGATGAAACAAAAATAGAACTGTTTGGCCATTATGACCATCGTTATGTTTGGAGGAAAAAGGGGGTTGCTTGCAAGCCGAAGAACACCATCCCAACCGTGGAGCACGGGGGTGGCAGCATCATGCTGTGGGGGTGCTTTGCTGCAGGAGGGACTGGTGCACTTCACAAAATAGATGGCATCATGAGGAAGGAAAATTATGTGGATATATTGAAGCAACATCTCAAGACATCAGTCAGGAAGTTAAAGCTTTGTCGCAAATGGGTCTTCCAAATGGACAATGACCCCAAGCATACTTCCAAAGTTGTGGAAAAATGTCTTAAGGACAACAAAGTCAAGGTATTGGAGTGGCCATCACAAAGCCCTGACCTCAATCCTATAGAAAATGTGTGGGCAGAACTGAAAAAGCGTGGGCGAGCAAGGAGGCTTACAAACCTGACTCAGTTACACCAGCTCTGTCAGGAGGAATGGGCCAAAATTCACCCAACTTATTGTGGGAAGCTTGTGGAAGGCTACCCAAAACGTTTGACCCAAGTTAAACAATTTAAAGGCAATGCTACCAAATACTAATTGAGTGTATGTAAACTTCTGACCCACTGGAAATGTGATGAAAGAAATACAAGCTGAAATAAATCATTCTCTCTACTATTATTCTGACAATTCACATTCTTAAAATAAAGTGGTGATCCTAACTGACCTAAGACAGGGAATTTTTACTAGGATTAAATGTCAGGAATTGTGAAAAATTGAGTTTAAATGTATTTGGCTACGTTGTATGTGAACTTCCGACTTCAACTGTACCTGTCTTATATCAGCTCGCTTGCACTCAGATGGGCAGGGTGGAAATATTTTAAGTGTGTCCTTAAAAACACGATCCAAAGTGCTAATTTCAGGCAGCGCTGACACAGATATTTAAGACCAACCAAAATATGGTTTTAGCCTTATGGCATGAATTTTGACAGCTGAAACGCAATTTATCCAGCCGCGGTGCACACTGTCCATATGCGCATGGAACAAGAATAGCCTAATGGTGCCTGTATACTTCGTATTTAGAAACATAAAAACTCGTGTTTTTTCCCATTTCGTTTTATTGTATTAAAAACCAAGTATAGCCTCCCCTCCTCTCAATTAAGGCTTTTTTTGTCTGCCCAATGCAATCGTGAGGCAGTCAAGACTGCCGATAAAAGATTTGGCTCCTGAGAACGCTTGGAAATAAATATGAATCACCAAAGCTTTATTAAAATATCAATTTTGAGAGGAGTAAAACAGTGAGCTGATATTCCCTTTGTATCTATGCATTGTAGGTTGTATCTATGCATTGTAGGCAGGCCAACATTATTTTAGCCATGCAGGTCAGGTTTTGGATGTGCTTAAAACCACCTCCATGATGTAGGCTAAGTGTCCATGCCCGTCATGAAACGAGAGATGAGAACCTCTGTGAATAACGGTGAATCTCGTATTTTGAAGTTATCTGTAACCTGTAAAAATGGCTTGTTTTCCGTTTCATATGTTCAAAACCCCTCCCTGAGGCCTACTATAACGAAGGCTGGTCCAACAGCAATGAGTGTCTTTTTTATCCTGACGATTAGCATTACATTTTACATTTATTTATTGTTGTTGTTTTTATAAAAACTGCTTTTTTTTTTTTTTTTTACGTTATTACAACCAAACTTATTAGAATTATTCACCTTTCTGGTTTTATGGTGACAACGTCCGTGGCGCGCTTGCAATGCAACTTCTGGAGATATGTGAATGCGATCTGATCTGTAAAATGGTTCCGATTATGTTCATAAAACATAGGCCTATTTGGGAGCAGTATAACGGTGGGTGGACATTCTCCCTTTCTCTTTATATTGGATCTTTGTCCAGCTACTGTGAAAAGTTTGGATGTGCATAAAACCCTCCATAATCTGCGTTGTTTTAATATTATATGCCCACGGGGAGAAATGACGGTGCCTGTAAATGTAACATAGCCTATTTAAAACAAGTTGTTGCTTTGTTTAGAATTTGATTATAATTATTTGTTCTCTTTTTAGGCCTTATCAATCATTCTTTTAATCTTGCTTATTGACCATGTTTGGCATGTCCATGCTCAGACATAATGCAATTTATAGGAGGCCTAGCCTGTGAAGGCTATTGAAGCCATGCAATTACTTAGAACAATGTGGACTGCAAATGGGTTCAAGTTAACGTATTTAGCAAAGATAGGTCTACATTTTGTTATTTCGTTTCTGTAAACCATTGAACAAATTATAACGGACTAACATTGGAATTGGAGTTGATTCCAAGGCAATACATAAAAGACCGTAAATACACAACTTGAAGCAACCACATATTTCGCCATGGAGCACGTTCTGATTGGCCAGTGAGGGGCCAAGCCTCCACACAACCACAATCACTACTGTACATCGGATGGATTTGGATACTGCTTTAGAGCAGATTTTTGCAGCATTAGTAAAGGTGTGATCAATACATGTGGATGATTTCTTTCCTGTGCTGTTTATAAATACCCTGATAGGTTGACAGATAACCTGAACCAGGTTGCAGCTTTTTTCTGAGTGGACAGCTTGATGAAAGCCAGTTAATATTTAGGTGACTCAGAAAATATACCTCTCTCTCATTGTTAAGACAAACACAAGGAGTGACAAGGAGTTGGCATTATAGTACAAACAGACTGGCACTCAGGCTAGAGGTTACATCCCAGAAGGGGGTTCCCGAAGAGCTTGCACTATATTGGTAATCGCAGGGGCATCGTTTGGTACTTCTTGCCAATCCTCCACTTTCAAGAATTCCTGGCTTCACTATTGCTTGCAGGCATTGCAAAAGTTCTGAACTCTCAGTGTGAAACAAGTCATTGTGGAAACATGTGTTCCTATCTATTTTATTTAGTGAGAGAAGAAGAATTTTCCATTCCGAAAGATTGGACATGGCCTTAACATGGAAGAACAGGGAGAAAGGCTTGGGTGAGAGTACAGTTGGTGAATTTCACGGATGAATGGCCACTAGAGGAAAACATTTCAGCGCATTAAATATTTAGAAAAGTAGGAGTTCTTTTTTCAGATGGAGATCAGTAGAGTGCCAATAGTGGCCCTGTGATCCAGACCAGTGGTGCCTCTTAGATAACCTCCAATAGAATAGAGCGAAGAGAGCACAATAGGCTGTTCGAGGTCATGCCTCAATCTGAATGAAGCAAATGAATCGTAGGGAATCGTGGCCAGCAATTGAACTACAGTCAGAATTCCAAATAAGAATGATTGTTAGGAGTATTATTTAAATGGCCTTAAATGAATGGGTCATTTGTTAGTATGATTGCTCTTTTTCAGGGCTCATCTCTGGTTCAGCTTTCTTCAAAGAAGATTGCTCTGATCAAATGCTGGGCAGTATCAGTGGAATAGCAGTATGAATCATCACTCTTCTTCTTTTTTCCTCCTTGAACATTGCTGCTACTTGGCCTCTTATTAACATCTGCTGTATTGGGCCAACCAGGAGGACAGTAATTTGGAGTCTGCATCCCAGATGGCATCCTATTCCCCACAGAGCTCTGGTCGAAATCAATGCACTATATAGGAAATAGCAGGGTGCCATTTGGGACACACCTGGTGCAATGTTTAGATTGAGGAGACAGCAGGGTGCCACGGTGAACAGGATTTTTTATTTAGCCTTCAAGGCGCCTGTGTTTCATCTGTATTTCAAGGCATCAGTTGGATTTGAGCACACACACACACACGCACACACGCACACACGCACACACATACACACATACACACACACAAACACACACACACACACACACACACACATACACACACACACACACACACACACACTTCACCTTCCCTATCAAAACAGACCCAGGACAGAATTTCCATGCATTGAACAAAGGGTTCTACTGCTAGTTTTCATTATCAGCATGAGGGCTTTCACACCCAGAAATCAGACCACAAACTAAATAAAATGTTATATTATATAAAACAACCTAAAATCAATCACACACGATCATTGTCATGTTCCTCTCTATAATGTCCAATGTATCAACACATTGATTGCAATATCTGATATATGATAGACTACAGTATTGTATTTCCAAACACAGATACTTGCATGTCATATCATGTATTGTTTCTTGGTCAAACTGTGAACAATGATACAACACCAGAGAGACCAGAGGCCTAGAGATCTAGAACACCAGAGATCAGAAACCTAGAGATCTAGAACACCAGAGAGACCAGATACCTAATGATCTAGAACACCAGAGAGACCAGAGACCTAGATATCTAGAACACCAGAGAGACCAGAGACCTAGAGATCTAGAACACCAGAGACCAGGAACCTGGAGATCTAGAACACCAGAGAGACCAGAGATCTAGAAACCAGAGAACGGAAATCTAGAGATCTAGAACACCAGAGAGACCAGATACCTAAAGATTTAGAACACCAGAGAGACCAGAGACCTAGAGATCTAGAACACCAGAGGCCAGAGACCTAGAGATCTAGAACACCAGAGAGACCAGATACCTAGAGATCTAGAACACCAGAGACTAGATACCTAGAGATCTAGAACACCAGAGAGACCAGAGACCTAGAGATGTAGAACTCTCAGAGAACATCACCCTGCTTACCTTATCATGCTTTTCCTCTGCCCCACACACACTGGTTATTTGGGGGAAAACTTCAGACCATCCGTCCTCTGTACAGTTCTTACTTATGTTTCCTGTAGGTAGGAGAAAAACATTGCTTTTGTCAGTTAAATGTTTATATTGCCTCATCTCTAAAACACTTATAAATGGTTATCCGGCCCCTTTATTCCTTTCATAAATCATAGTCAAAGAAAAATGCAGCATGTTTTTTTGTAGAAACAATTATTTTATTTATCTGGTAAGTGAGTCTGATGTAGGATATTTCTTCTGCTAAGATGATCCTCCTTTGTATGCCCACTCAAGTCGACGAAAAAGTTTGTGTAATTTGCTACACATGACTTCACACACAACCCCTAAGTGGTTGCTCAGTAGCTGTGATTCCGTTTAAAGCATGACGCATGATGGCTTCCATTAAAGTTTCATTCAACAGGTTCTTATTTACAGTGTTGTCAAATTATTCTAAAAGACATTCAGACAGTCTTGTCAAGTGCAAATAGATGTCATTTTGAGAGAGTTTTTTCACAAAAACTTTTCTCTTTGGGAAGCGAAAGTGTTCCATGTTTAATTGAAAGAGCCTTTGACTTAGTCAGTTGAGTAGGGCCCCGTGTAGCTCAGTTGGTAGAGCACGGCACTTGCAACGCAAGGGTTGTGGGTTCGATTCCCACGAATGGCCAGTATGAAAAATGTATGCACTCACTAACTGTAAGTCGCTATGGATAAGAGCGTCTGCTAAATGAGTATTGAATGAATCCAGTATGTAATGTAATGTAATGTAATGTACTTCGCCACACAGTTGTAGGACTACAACCACAGGCCTCTTTCTTTCTCTGCTCCTTTGAATGTCACACTCCATCAGTCTACTCTACACAGACCCTGCCACAGCAGCCTACCTAGTTGTAGGCTTGACGGGTGCTATAGGGATCCCAGAGGTTTCTGTTACAAAGAAATCTTCTAAGCCAATTTACATGGCCAACTCGTCCTCTCCAAATCAATTTCACACAGCTACATTTACTCGGAGGCATCTTGAATGTGGGGCGTTCAACATAGGACTGGAACCTGTCTTCATGTAAATACAATGATCTTACAGTAATCTATCATCTATCATACTCTTTGTCTGGGTCATTTGTTTATAATGAATGAAGTATCAGTGCAGATTCGTCTAGACTGTCACCAGTAGTGATGGGTAGGACGAGAGCTCCACAGAATCCTAGTCTGCCACATGGGCCATTGGAGATTGTGGAGTGAGCAGAAATGATTAATTTTGCCTCTAGTCCATGCAGTGCAGAACATACTGTATCATTCCCTGAACTTGGCTTGGTGCAATTCACCATGATTCAGTGGAGAATTGTGCCATAGTATATAGGCTACAAAAGAACGATATATACTTGTGGCCCATTTTTGTCTCTGGCTTTCAATGCGCTCCAACAGTAGAACATCTACATTACACTGATCTGTGTACCTCTGTAATTCTGTGAAATTTGAAATATTGGTCTGATGTGAATCCAAATCCTGAAAATGGTGTGAGCTCTAACCGGAAAGATGCGTACATAACATTGTAGTGTAGCTGTAACAGTGGTGTGTATTCTTGGGTGCCAAGGAAAGCCACGCTTCCCCCCAAAAATGACCAAGAAAAAAAGAAACAAAATGATGTATATTTCGTCTCGCTGTGTTTCATAAATGTTCTTCAATTCGCAAGAGGTTGAATTTATCTCACCGGAGAAAGCATCCAAGCGAACGAAACAGCGCCCCTCTGTCTCTGTATGTGTAGCCCATCTATGCTGTCAGGTCAAAAAGAGTATGACATTGTTGCCACCCGTAGCACTGAGTTTTGGCCTCCCTTGATAAAACAATTATAAAATAATAGCCAATCAGTGTTGAGCTAAATTGAGTGAGCTCAGCTTTGAATAGTCCTGGCGCACCCAAAAAAAGTTTCATGGGAAGCCCGTTTGGATTTGGCTTTACACCAATCACATCACATTAGAAGCCAAATGTCATTGACAGAAAACTTGAATTGTTGCATCTCGTTGTGTCGTTGTCCTCTGGTGGCTAGCTAGCTATCTAAAATCGTCCCTTTCCTAAATTAGCCATGGATGGAGATAGGGATTTGGTTTTACTTAATTCTCCATACTGGCCAATGATTATAACAGTCATCATGTAGCTAGATGTAGTAACGTTAGGCTAATGTTAACTAGCTGTCCTGGCTGTCACGAATTCAGCCGAGGCTGCCCCTCCTCCTTGCTCGGGCAGGTTTCGCTGTTTGTCGTCACCGGCTTACTAGCCACTACCGCTCCATTTATCATCACTCCATTTGTCTTATCTTGTCTTGTCAATCACACACACCTGGTACTCATTCCCTCATTACTCTGTGTATAAGTGTTCCCTCTGCCCCCTTGTCCTTTGTGAGTGATTGTTCATTGTGAGAGTGAGTAGCACGGTTGAGCTACTCTTTCCTTGTATGTAGCCAAGGTGGATTTTTCCCTTGTGCTAGTTTCGTTTTGACGATTGCTGCGCTTTATTCATGTACACTGAATAAACTCTGGATTTCGGTGTTTTACCTCCTGCGCCTGACGCCGTCATTCACACCTCATCACACTGGCGCACTGTTGCCCATGAAAGGAAGTTAAGGCTAGCGAGAAAGTTAGCAAAAATAGATAAGATCTTTCTACCATGGAAAGGTAAATACCTGTCAATTTGTGGGAAAATCACCTTGATTAACTCTTTAGTATTATCCCAGTTTACCTGTTTGCTTATAGTCTTGCCTACGCCTAGCGAACAGTTTTTTAAATTATATGAGAAAAAGCTATTCAATTTTATTTGTAACAGCAAGCCAGACAAAATTAAACGGGCCTATTTATATAATGAATATGAACTCGGAGGACAGAAATTATTAAATATTAAAGCATTAGGCCTATCACTAAAAGCTTCAGTCATACAAAAGTTATACTTAAATTCGAACTGGTTCTCTAGCAAATTAGTAAGATTGTCTCACCCATGTTCAAGAATGGCCTTTTTCCCTTTATTCAGATTGCAACCTCACAGTTTCAGTTATTTGAAAAGGAAATAATCTCTCAAATATCACTATTTCTAAAACAAGCCATAGAAAGTTGGTTGCAATTTCAATTTAATCCTCCAGAAACGACAGAACAAATAATGCAACAAATATTGTGGTTAAACTCAAATATACAAATTGATTATAATCTTCGTAAATGATATCATCGGTAGGATTGGTGGAGTTATGTCGCACATGCAGCTAACAAAAACATATGGAAATGTCTGCTCTACCCAAAATCACAACCAAATAATTGCAGCATTACCGCAAAAAATGTAAGAGGAAAGTGAAAGGGGGAAAATGTAAGGAACTTGTCTGTCGGCCTTGCATTAAAGAACATAATTGGTTAAAGAAAACTGTGATAAATAACAAAGTATACCAGTTTCATTTAAGGACCAAAGGATTGACAGCCGTCCCATATAGATTGCAAAATAGTTGGGAAGAGATTTTTGACATACCTATCCCATGGCATAGTGTTTATGAACTGATACGCAAAACGACACCGGATTCAAAACGTATAATTTTTCAATTTAAATTATTATATAAAATTCTTATATATAATATAGAATGTTATTTATATGGGGGATACATTTATTTTTATTTTTTTACATTTTTAGTCATTTAGCAGACGCTCTTATCCAGAGCGACTTACAGTTAGTGAGTGCATACATTTTCATACTGGCCCCCCGTGGGAAACGAACCCACAACCCTGGCGTTGCAAGCACCATGCTCTACCAACTGAGCTACACGGGGCCCAATCTTCCCAGCTCTGCAGATTTTACTGCGAAGAGACAGAATCATTAGATCATTTGTTTTGGTACTGTCCATTTGTAGCTTGTTTTTGGACACAGGTCCAGGAATGGCTAAAGGATTGCAATATTTACCTGGAGCTAACCCTGCAGATAGCATTACTGGGTGATCTGAAAAGTCATAGTCAATCGATCAATAATATAATCAAACTTTTAGCAAAAATGTTTATTTTCAATTTACAATCTGTAGAAACAATGAGAATAGAAAGGTTCAGAACTTTTGTAAAACCTCACAGTACAGTTGAAAAATATATGGCAAATAGAAATCCAATATGGATGGGGTTAAGAGATAGATGGGTGATGTTGAATGGAGTTGAAGGATGGGACTAATAACAACTAACAACAACTAATAACAACAAGATAACTAATAATGTAAGCATACTGTGTCCATAATAAGTATATAGGTTATAGGTTGAGAGCTTTTGTGAAAGAGCACAGTTAGAAAGATATGGCATATAGAAGCAAACCGTATGGACATCATCAAAATAATCGGAGAGCTTGAGGGTAGAGGAAGTTCATGAGTAAAAACAAACAAAATATAATTATTGTAAAATTGACTGTGTCCATAAAATGTATATAGTATGTATAAGCTGGAAGTAGAGGCCTAAGCATTGTTGTTCACTAGTTTACTCCAATTAGGGAAGGGGTGGTGGGGTTGGAAAGTAATAAAGGGAAATATATTTTAAAAAAGGAAATGTATATGTATGTGTATATATGTATGTATGTGTATATATATGCGAGAAAAAAACCATATGGGGGATTGGAAGTGATACAGACAATTACATTGATGGAAGTTACAATCTGCAATATTAAAGCTGATCTATCCCCTAAAAAAAATAAGAAGAAAAAAAAAAGAAAATGGCTAGCGAGCAAGTATTTTAGCCAAGTAGTCTAGAACAACAAAAACTTAAAGTGTGTACTGTATGACAGAGTCATAGACCATTTAGGCAACATGAAAGAGGAGGATGGCATTGGCGTTTCTCCAGAAGTAGGGTGAGTCAACATGTTTTTTCTACTTGCACACGCATGCACACACACACATAAATCATTACCATGGACAGCCACATCATATTAAGCTTTTGTTGATTGGACTAAATCGTTTTTTGATATGGGGGATACATACAGTGGGGAA